TTTCTTTCTTTCTTTCTCATTCATTCTAGTGTTATTATTTCAATTGTTCTTTGTTTTTTCTCTTTCTCATTATTTTTCGAGTATTATTATCTCAATGATTTTTCTTCCTTTCTTTCTAGTTTTAGTATCTCAATGGTTCTTTGTTTTTCCTTTCTAGTGTTATTATCTCATTGATATTTGCGTCCTCAATGAGTTGCTAATATTTTGAACTTCCTTTTTTCTTACTTTCTTTTTTTTCATTCTTTCTTTCTAGTGTATTTATGTCGCTGTTTCTTTCTTTCTAGTGTTATTCTATCAATGGTTCTTTCCTTCTTTCTACCTCTTTCATTCTTATTTTTCTAGTGTCATTATCTCAATAGTTTTTGCTTCCTTTCTTTTTCATTCTTTCTAGTGTTGGTATTTTAATGGTTCTTTGTTTCTCTCTCTCTCTCCCTCTCTCCCTCTCTGTTTCGTTCTTATTTTTCTAGTATTATTATCTCAGTGATTTTTCTTTGTTTCTTTGTTTCTTTCCTTCCTTCTTTCTTTCTACCGTTGGTATCTCAATGGTTCTTTGTTTCTTAGTGTTATTACTTCAATGGTTTTTGCGTCCTCAGTGAGTTGCTAACATTTTTAACTTGCGTCCTAGGCTCTGGATAAATTCTGTAAAGCGTTACATGTTCTCAGTTAACAGGTAGAACACAGACAGTCAGGTGAAGTGCTCACAGGTTCGTAAAGCGTATTTATGTTGAAATAAGAACATCACAGCACCATATATATTTTCTGTTGCACTGCGTATCGTCTCGGCATTCTCATGCTCTCTATCAGAAATATATCAGTAGGGACCCCAATGCTGCATCAACAAATCCACTCAACAACAGACAGTTTTCTTCAGATTACGATTTATATGCTTTATTGGATATAGTAGGCATCAGTTCTTGAAAGAAACAAGAAGGAAAAGAGGATACAGAGAAAGGATATTAACAGGTCTTCACATCTTCTACACGTGGTGTCATGTCTACCTTCTGAAACAACAGTGCACAAACGATTATGTGAGGGGAGGGTTCGGACAATATCAAAGCTCTTGATTTCACTAATGCCAAAACAAAACTGCTGTTTTCGTGCGTTTTCGGTGTTATATCAAAACTTAAGTAATCCACCACAGTCAAAATTTCACGCTCATGGGCTTTAAATCATCGACATTCATTTCTGGTCTTCAATGTTCTGATCAGTATTCACTACAATTATCATTTTTTTAAAAAGCATCTATGAACACAAAAGGGACCTAATACACAACAATTTACCAAATGCATTAGTTATACAAATTCAGCTTTGATCTAAAGAATGCCGCACTTATCAAAAGAGAAAGTAACTTACTTAGAAGGAAAATTCTCGAGAGTGTCGATATCGAATCTTATCTGAGCCCCGGATGTTTCCAATATCCCCATTTCTGAAAGGACTAGTACTTTTCAAGCCAAGATATATGACCACAAAAAGGTTTAAAATTAAAAGAAAGCCGTTAAACCCATGACCTCATGTTGTTCAAAATAGATAACACATAAATTAATGACAAACTAAATATAAATACCAATTTGCACAAAACTTCTCAAGAAATAATATTTCAGAAACATCATTTAGTCATTTTTATTTATTAGACATTGATTTGTATCAATTCTTGTCCCGCATAATTTGCCTGACGTTCCAGCTAACCTGATGAATATTTATGAGCGTTCCTAACTCAAGAATTTTGAAAAAACCAATAACATTTTCGCTCTTGTATATAATTGCTTGTTATAAAATAAAATCCTTAGATTTGCCTTGATAAGGTCCCACGAAGGACGAAACTCGTTGGCTAAGATAAGTTTTCCTTTTGTCTTTATTATTCAAATGAACATTTTTGCCATTTTTGTCTAATGCACGCGGTCTGTAACAATTTGCATACTCTGAAACAACTTTGGCATTCTAAAGTCGAACTTCAACGTTTATCCCCTTAATAAAAAAGCTGATAGCAATAATGGATTAATCTGGCAAGCAGCTTACTGGTTACTAAAGTCGAAAAAAAAAAATTCCCTATCACTCAATGGGAAGCCTTTTTAGACGTTCGTCTCCACTGCGTTCGTTCAGAACTGTTAGCTTCTACGAACAGAACGTCATACAAGCGACTGCTCGGTTTTCAAAGAAAACCGAATTTAGTTATATTGTACCAACACTAAAAGGGCTTTCGTGTGACATCATATACGTTGAAAGGGTTGACGTTCTGGACAACATTTCTAGCTATACTCATGCATGTACAGACAAGACAAGCAGTGGGAGATATACAATAGTGCCTCTACACCCTTTAGTATAAGCTGTTTTGGATGTGATAATGAGTAAACTGCCGTGGTTACATATGAGACACTGTTATAATTGAATCAAACAGCATCTGATGAACCATCTCAAACCATATCGATGCATTCTCTGCCGGTTTGATGTGTCCCGAATTTCCGGCCAGTAGTATTTGTTCCTGTCCGACATCATTACTGTACATTGATAAAATTTGGCCTTCTTCCTTCTTCTTCTTCTTCTTCTTCTTCTTCTTCTTCTTCTTCTTCTTCTTCTTCTTCTTCTTCTTGCTTCTTCTTTTCTTCTTCTTCTTCTTCTTCTTCTTCTTCTTCTTCTTCTTCTTCTTCTTCTTCTTCTTCTTCTTCTTCTTCTTCTTCTTCTTCTTCTTCTTCTTCTTCTTCTTCTTCTTCTTCTTCTTCTTCTTCTTTCTTCTTCTTCTTCTTCTTCTTCTTCTTCTTCTTCTTCTTCTTCTTCTTCTTCTTCTTCTTCTTCTTCTTCTTCTTCTTCTTCTTCTTCTTCTTCTTCTTCTTCTTCTTCTTCTTCTTCTTCTTCTTCTTCTTCTTCTTCTTCTTCTTCTTCTTCTTCTTCTTCTTCTTCTTCTTCTTCTTCTTCTTCTTCTTCTTCTTCTTCTTCTTCTTCTTCTTCTTCTTCTTCTTCTTCTTCTTCTTCTTCTTCTTCTTCTTCTTCCCTTCAAAGACGTGAATGATTATAGCCCACCACAACTCCCTTTCCTTACTATCCTTCCCATATCCTGTTCTAACATGCATTTACACAAACTCACCTTCAATATGTAATGTGAGTATTAAATTTTTTAAGGCTTCTTTCCTCATTATTTGTCATCAGAAAGCTGTCTACAATGAAACATTTGACATTCATTTACCGACTTTTGGCTGAAATTTATAGAATCTTTCTTTTAAAACAATTTTACAGGAAAATAAGTTACTCAACTCCAATAGCTGTTATCGTTCTTTCCAACATTGATAGGGTTTTCTCCTTCTTAACCTTTTTATTTTAAGTAGTGTGGAATTTCAACATCTTGGTTATGCCATTATTTTCTCTTCCTTTTATATGTGCTATCCAGTTAAGTTGTTGAAGCTGGTGGCAGTACTCAAGTGATGTGGTTTCTATTATTTGGTACAGTTCTTTGTGATTCTGTATCGCAACTCCACAATGTTTAAAGTAGAATGATCTTAACTCACTTAAAACATTTTTTTAACTATTAATCTCAGAGAGCTGTTGCATAAATCTGACAGTTTAGATATTTCTGAACGGGATTGGTGCCATGTATAAGATCCACAAGTGTCCTTTTACTTCCAATTTTCTCTTAAACTTCCTTGTTGCTCGAATGTTCTATCCATAGTATTCTTATCATCCTTCTGCAAAACCACATTTTTGTTGCTTTTAGTCACCTCTACATCTGAGAAGAAAATGTTCTTCATTCACAACTATCTAGGAGGATTTCTACTTCTCTTACTACTGCTTTTCCAGATGTACGTCGTCCCAGAAGAGGGTTATATTAGCATTACTAATTGTAAATTATAAGCTGTGGAGATTTTGCTTTTTGAATGTTGGTGAATTTGGAGAATAACAATTTAAACCGGAAGCGAATGTTGTTACTTCCGTTTACAATTGCTTCCGTTTTCAGTTTTATATTATGGCGCCTAGTTGGAGACTCACGACGTTCTTTCATGCTTATATTGTTTTTTTTTTCTCTCTTATATTTGATAATACTTCACCAAAACAATCTTGTCTATACTTATGTCGCACGGAGATAAAATTCGTAAATATAAGAAGAAAGTATTTATTCATAGAATTTCTACACTCGTTAACACATTTCTCATCCATTCCCAGTGCTGATTTCGCACGTATCGCATTAGATGGCAAAGTAAGCGGAATAGAAATATTCAACACTATATTTTCAGCAAACTAGCAGACAGGATAATATATCATTACATCGAATTGGCCAGAAAAAGTTGCAGACAAACCGAAGCCTAAATAACCGCATAAAATCTTCTAACAAAAATACTTAAATTATCCTGTCAGGATATCTTATGTCACTGAATTTTTAAACCTATTTCTCCTTTTTGTTAACGTCTCCCGACACCATTATATATTGAATAAAAGAGATCATATTTACACATAAGTACTTTAGTGTATACCGATCGTTTTTCATAATAAGAGTCTAGATCTGTATTAGTTTTGCGCAAACTGCTTGCTTTTTTTCCAGTAATCTTGAATAAATATTTATTGCATTTGCTTCTCAAAACAACACAGGGCTAAGAATTAATCAATATAAATGCAATCTGTTGGGGAAATATTAATTGGATTGTTAATAATGAAAAACAAAACAAACAAAAACAATGTTTGCTTTGTTTTTAAATAACATTAGTAGCATTTAGTTTTAACTAACATCACCCAAAAAACGTCGTTTTTCAGTGTATTGCGGGAGGCCTCCAATCAGGGTTCATCCTTTAAAATAATGTCGTCAAAATTGGCAATTATTTTTTTTAATCGTGTGACAACCGAAGATAGAAGAAAGTAAGCAACCTTTTCTCAAATTCTTTTTCAAAAATCAAATCAAGAAAGATTAAAATGCAACGGAAGCACAGAAACTAAGGAAAAATTATGGAAAAAGTGGCAAAGAGCGCTCATAGGTGGTTTACAATGTTTTCTAGGTCGACGATCCTCCAAGGTCAGGGGCTTATGATCACATCACGCTGAAATACAGGTTCTTGTACGATCACCGAAGTTAAGCAACGTTGAACTTGGTCAGTATCGGGATGGGTGGCAGCTTGTGAATACCAGATGCTACAATCTTGGATGTGCGAGTGATTTAATAGATAATGTCTCGAAATTGGAAGGCCGCGTTTCGATTCCAGCCAGGTTCTTTGTATTCCGTTACGCACAAATATCCTTCGGAAACGGTATGAATTAGCTTTTTCTTCCCACCGGCTATGGGTTAATTAGTAGGACATGTATCAGTAAATCATTATTCAATTCTAAAAGTCTAAAAATATATTCTGATTTTAAATGACCTGCAAAAAGTTTGGTAATCTATAAAAATATGGTCAGAGAAAACAGGTTGAAGTTGACAGCGGTCAGCTCATTACTTGATAATAATAAAAATTGATAGCCAAAATACTCAAATCAAGCACTAAAAATCATCAAATTCTTTTTGCTAACCGATTTAATATTTTGCTTTCACGTAAGTTTCTAGAACGTAAATATGAAATTTCATTTCTGAAAAAAACAAAAATAACAAAAAAAAAAAACAACAAAAAAAAACCCAGTGCTGAACAGCTATGTCATATTTATCCTTCGATATGGAAGTGAATGCTGGACAATTTCCTTACGGGATGAAGAGGAAATTAGAAGCAACAGTGATAGGCATTTTTGTAATCATTTCATTCCAAGCAAGGTAATAAAGCCAATATAACGCAAAAGGTAACCGAGTCTAAGAGAACATGAGAAAAAACTATTATGAAGGGGGGGGGGAGGACAATAAAGGAATAAGAATTAAGAAGAAAGAAGATAACGATTGATATTGCATTTATATTTTTGAAGATCAAATTGACCGGGAATTAAGAAGCTAGAAGAGAGTGCCACACGCAAGAAGTGCAATAGAACAGACTGTTAGGACAGTAATAACGGTTACATCTAGTCATTTCAACTGTAAAATTATGTGACCTGTCCGCCAATCTAGTCCTGCGCTCAAATTCATAAAGTCTAGATACCATAGAGGAAGGTTCGTCAGAACAATTACCAGAACAATTTATAGAAAAAACACAGGGAAGTTATGTTACGGTGGTGGGAAAGTGACTGAAACCGAGATGTCAGGTCAGGACCAATAACATTGCAGATTCTTTTTGGGATTTTACCAAGCATCTCTAAATATATAACAGTAGCACCAAACCAAATGTGGCAGCAAAGGATGAATGGTAGACTTATAAATATGTAAGATAGATTCCAGAGAGAAAAATTGTCAAGCATGGCATAGTGAACCAACTTTCTTAGCTGCAGACTTAGCAATTGATTCAATATACTCTTTTCCTCTTCATCTCAATTGAAAACGTTAGTCCGAGAAATTGCAATGGGTCACTCTCTGAAGGGTTGCATCAACCATGCAACTTATACTGAATAATACTGATAATATAGAAACAAAAAGATATTTGCACTTAAAATCAGAATGAGGTACCTGAAATATCTGGGAAACATATTGAGGAAAGAGGGCTTGGGGAACTTAATACTCACAGGATACCTGTGAATATTGATAGCAATGTAGGGACTGTGAGGCGAAGTAAGGAGGTAAGCGTTACTTAGAGCAACAAACGGTAGGAAGATGTGAAGAGCTATGATTTACTCCCGTCTTTTAGGTGTACGACACGTATAAGAAGGCGATCAGGCATTTTCGATACATGACTGACGAGGCATATTTTTTCCCGCAGTAGGTTGCCATTTCTGTCTGCGGTAGAAAGGTTGCCATCCAAGGCTACAGAATCCGATCTGTCATGTTAGGACGAAGATTCATACCTTTCCCATGCACGTAAGTGAATGTAATGAATTCGACTGGAGTTCGAACTCAGCTCTCCGATTTCTCAGTCCGAGCCGCTATCCATTACTCCGCCGTGCTTCCTGTAACCGTGATAAAACGATGGTCGTGAACGGGTACAGAGACGCAGAATTGAGCGAGAGTCGTGGTTAATATGCCCCTAAAGTACTCAGGCTGGAGCTGGTGACATAATATTCTGGGCAGCAGAATAACAAGCAATAGAAAAACTAAGATGGTCGTTGCTGATAGAAGTATCTGTGGCCACTCTAATCTGTAGGATATTATGGAGAACATTATCATACCTCAGTTTTGCCACCATAGTCCAACCTTTATTTTTGTGGATTCGCCTAGTTACCTAATAAGATTTCGTTGTCTAATAAGATTTCTGAAAGTCCGCCCATCAAGTCATCAAATACACTGGCGTGTAAAGGTTTACGCTCAACTATATAAAATGGTTATGCATCTTTATTTTAATAAGAAGGTAATATACTTTAGCAGTATTCTTTTGTCAGAAGTGTCTGTGAATCTTGAGGACTGGGAGATAAGTTGTTTGTTTCGTTTTGGTAGGTGCAGTGTAACAGAAGATACACTGCTTTAAGCATGTAAAGCTATTGAGCCAATGAAAGATCTGAGATGATGAAGTCATGATAATATGCCAATTCCTAAATAGGAATTGTTCTATCATATTAACACCAGTATAAGTTGCCTTGGCGAACCATTATAATTTAATATTAGCTTGCTTCTTTACATCATGACTAAAATTTTTGCTGAAACAAAGCTGAAAGTTTGTGAATCTGATGGGGAAGATGACTCAATTAGGCGGCTGGGGAGTTTCCAGGAACAGTGCTCAAACCACCCAAAAGACGTTTGCTACTACTGGAAGTGTTTAGAAAACAAAGAAAAGTGGGAAAACCTCAAAAGTTAGAAAGAGATCAATTACAAAAGATCCAACTCAATTCGTAAGAAGTTTTGCACGTGAGAGAGGAGTTTCAGCTATGAGTCTAAAAAGCAGTGAAAAAAGACTTGAAAATGAAATCATAAGTGAAACCTGTGAAGCATCTTGTTACTCTAGAACAGAAAGTTAGAAAGTTAGAGAGGGCGAGGATCATCTTGGATAAATTGGAAAATGATCCTTGAAAAATACACACACATGCACACACATACACACACGCATATATATATATATATATATATATATATATATATATATATATATATATATATATATATATATATATATATATATTTCAACTTTATTTCATTACTTCACGAGATTCCGATCCTTAGCTATGTTCAATTAATGAATGTTCAATAAATGTCATTTTCGTTTATGATCGAGTTCATCATAATACTTCTGTTAAGGTTAAAGTGTAATTATACATTCTTAATGCTCAAAATAAAGTACACTAGTTTTATAAAAACCTCGGAGATTTCAGTAAGATATTTTTATTATTTTTAAGATGCAACGGTTCAGAGCTTCATCAAACAATTGGACAATTTCGCTGTTACACTCGGTATATATATATATATATATATATATATATATATATATATATATATATATATATATATTAAGTCCCTAAACTATTTGTTTTTAAAAATTAAATATTTAAATTGATAGCAAACATCAAATTTTTTTAGACATCTAAATTTCTATCAAGCATTAAAATCCATTCTTTACATAAATTGCTAAAACCCAATTACAGCCTCTTTCTCTTTACTTCCCTCTCCCTCTCCCTCTTCTTTCTTTTTCCTTTTTTTTTTCTTTTCTCCCTACTCCCTCCCATTTCTATATATCACTTCCGTTAAGTTAACCATCTAAATATGTCAAGGTCTGGTCACTCCTCCTCCCACAATATAAAGTATACTTGAGAGAGATATGAAATTAATCCCTCCCTATACTCTACCATGTCTATTTAACTATCCCTCTTACACTCTCTGTTAAATTACAAAAACTTACACTACCCATCAATTTTAATTTCATTTTTCGTTTCATTTCATTTTTGGAAGTGCTATCTGATGATCCGGTGTCCTTTAAAAAGACTCTGATGAAATAAATTATTATAATGGAACCTTAAAGTGGTCTGTTTTTCTTTTAAATATTAGCTCTGGATTTACATTGAGCTCTCAGAATTTCATCCTCTTTGGGATTACCCATACGGATTACCAAATTCTTCATAACTTAACTATATATATATATATATATATATATATATATATATATATATATAAAAGAAAGAACAGTAAGATATAAAATCCGGTGTTCTTATAGATATTTTATTTTTACACAATAGTGCTCAATGTAAATTTACAGAGCATTAATATTATAATTAATTGATTTAAAAATATGTTTTTTTTTTTACAAGTTCCAACCATGTTTCAAAATTTTTGAAACATGGTTGGAACTGTGTAGCGAAAAACCATATTTTAAATCAATTAATTTATAATATATATATATATGTATATATATATATATATATATATATATATATATATATGTATGTATTTATGTATAATCTTAAGCGTTATCGGACAAAGATTTTCATGAAAATTGTTCTGAGCTTTTCGGCTTAGTGCGTCGGATACATGGATTTAAGTGTACTACTAGATTCGTCACTAGATCTCAACGATTTGACCTAGCTATTTGTCATCCTCTAATTGATTCTTTTCTCACACTTCTCTCCCTCTCGATTTCTTGCTTCTCTGCCACCGACAATCTGCAAAAAGTTAAATGTAACTACAATCGCCATCTTCTATATTCCTTAATTCTATTCGTTTATTGTCCTTTATCGTGACTTCCTCTCACTAAAGTTTTCTCATCTTCTTTAATAAAAAGTATGTGATCTTCAACAGAGAGGGAACCTGCGTTTTCTTTATGTAGAGGAAACCAGCGTATGTACTATTACATCATTCATTTAGCCTCACTTAATTATATATATTTACAGCGAGATACAATACTCTATATATTACACATGCTCAGTTATACACAAACACAGAAACACACAGACACACACACACACATATGATAAGATAAAGAACACATATCAATCTGACATATTTCAATTTTATTAAAGCTTCGTCAGAGGCTGAGAAACGGAGAAAAATACGGACATTCTGATATTTACAAAATTGTGTTGTTTGACTTTCATTGGTCAATCATGTATCACGTGAATTATAACTGTAAATAATTATAGATGTATGTAAGTTTTCAAAAATTCTTGTTTTTGTATGTTGGGATCAGATGAAATTTTTTATTCGCAATTGT